ATGCAAAGCCTTAGCTTGGCTTGTTTCTAGTTTAAATTATCCCATTTCTCTTTACATTTTGCCTCTGGGCTTTTTACCATTTTTTAGTCTATATATCTTTCTTTCCTTCTTATTTTGTGATTGACTGTGTGGCTAAGTGGCTGGCCTCTGGAATCCTCCTCTCCTCCTTTTCTCCCTTCTTGCCCCATCTCGAGCCTACATTTCTTCTCCTATTTATTCAATCTGCCCGAAAGCCTGCCTATTTCTCTCTCCTGCCTAGCTATTGGCTGTTCAATTCTTTATAGAGCAACCAGGTTTTTTAGGCAGGCAAAGTAACAGAGCTTCACAGAGTTAAACAAACGCAACATAAAAGAATGCATCATTAAACAAATGTTCCACAGCATAAACAAATGTAATACATCTTAAACTAATATATTCCATGACAATTTTGTATTTTTTAAATTCATATATGGAATCCTTAATATTCATATTCATGTCATTTCCTCCTTCTCCCTTCTCCCTTCAACTGCTTCCATACCCCTCACTTCCTCTCAAATTCATGGCTTCTTTTTCTTTAATGATCATTGCTACATATATGTGATAAGTACTACTTTCTGAGTCCATTTATTATTGCTTGTATGTACATGTTCTTTTAGGGCAAGCCACTTGGGATTGGACGCTTTGGAGCTCATGCCTGAGAAAGCTTGATTCTCTCTCAGCAGTCATTAATTGCGTATAGCTCTTAATCTGGGGGTGGAGCCAAGTGCAATTTCCCTCATCTACATTGGCATGTTGTCAAACGAAGAGATCAACTCACCATCAGGTGCCCAGCCCTGGCTGATATTTCTACAATACAACCCCTACATCTACATCTCAGGGAATGCTGTGGAAAATGAGAAAGAAAGATCCTAAGAGTCAGATGATCTCTAAATCTGCTGCAAGAATGTGTCTTCTCTATATGATAGGGAAACTGCACCCATGAAATCCAAGTAATTCATTATTTTTCAAGCAGGTCTGGGAGCCAAGACATCAGAACAATAATGTTTTCTAGATACTTAGTCAAATAATTAATTTATGATCTGTTCTCACTCAGGGACTGGCATACAGTCTCAGAAACTGAGCACTTGACAGTATTTCAAACTTCTCAGCACATTCTGATCCTATCAGGGACTTGTGAACAACACCTTTCCCAGGTAACTGAATGAGAGGCAATCTTGATCCATTCATCAGTGATAAAAGCAATACCCATAAATATACAAAATGTTTTTTTTTCTTGATTAAGGAAAAATTCTGTCATTTGGCAAAAATCTTACCCAAATTATCCCATGGAGCCTGTGTTCATAATGAACTAATAGAGAGGAAAAAGTATATATATATAGGTGTACTGGTTAGTTTTATGTCAGTTTGACACAAGCTAAAGTCATCTGAGTGGAGGAAACTTTAATTAAAAACATGCCTCCATGAAATCTGGCTGTAGGTAAGCCTATAAGGCATTTCCTTAATTAGTGATTGATGTGAGGAGGGCCTAGCTCATTGTGGGTGATGTCATCCTGTAATGAGTCTTTTTCTGTCCCACCAGTCAGCTCCCAAATAATGACACTGAGACTTCTTAATTATGAAAGCTCAGCTTATTCCTAACTAGCTCTTATAACTTATATTATCCTATTTATATTCATCTATATTCTATCTCATGGCATTACCTCTCTTCCATCTTGTACCTCCTGTTTTCTCTCTGAGTCTCCTAGTATCCTGCATGCCTAGATTCCTCCTTCTTTTTCTTTCTCTCCCTGCCTAGCTATTGACCATTCAGCTTTATATTATACTAGTCACAGCAATACATCTTCACATAGTGTATAAATATCACACAATACTATCCTGGGCAGGTAGTACTGGGTTCTATAAAAAAGCAGGCTGAGCAAGCCATGAGGAGAAAGCCAATAAGCAACATGCCTCCATAACCTCTGCATCTGCTCTTGCCTCCAAGTTTCTGACTTGCTGAGTTCCTGTCTTCAGTGATTTTGATGATGAACTGTTATATGAAACTGTGAGTGAAACAAACCCTTTCCTCCCCAAGTTGTTTTGGTAATGGTGTTTCATCACAGCTGCCATAACCCGAAGACAATAGGTATAAAAGTATGGGCTAAAAAATTAAGGAAGATGAAAAGAATTTGTTTTCAATGTTTACCTTATAACTTCAAAAATACATTACATGGAGATATATACATACATATATATATACATATATATATATATATGTATATATATAGTCATTCCACATCATCAAACAAAGCCCTAGTAAGAGTAGATAATGGAAGAAACATTTTCCCTCTCATCATCCTAATAAAAAGAGTTTATAGTTATTTGGCAGAGTTGAGCTATGAACAAAATAATTTTTATATTAAAATAAGAAAACTTATGACAAATGTGAAGGGATAATTTCTGGATGAATCTTCCAAAATTCATGAATTAGATACATTAGAGATGTCTACACTTATGTAGAGAAAAGAAAGCATATCACTAAAAAGCATATTTTGTTCCTACCCTTTATTTTTTCTTATTTGTGAACACAAACTTTTCAAATATTTATAGAAACCAAATATTTTAAAGTAACAATAATTATTTTTTAATGATTTTTAAATTTTTAAATGTATGCATGGGTGTCTCTGCATGTATGTAAATGCACCATGTGCAAACATACCTGAGTATCCAGGAAGGCCAGAAGAGGGTGTCATTGGAGCTCCTGGCACTGGAATTATGGATAGTTGTGAGTCACCATGTGTGTGCTGGGAACTGAACCCAGATCCTCTGAAAGAGCAACATATGCTCTTAATAGCTGAGCCATTTCCCTCACCCCAAATTAGTGAGTTTTAAATAAGAATTTTCTTATATGTAATTTTAATAAGTAATAAATAAGTAATTTCTTAATCAATATCCCCTCTGTTTGGAAATAAATACTTCACATCATATTCGATAGACACATGTTAAGCTGACCTTCTTTGCTCAAAGAAGTTACCCACCTGCCCTGTAATATATATAATAGACATCTCTATGGCATAATTTTCCTAGTGAGATCTATGGAGGGCTGTATTATCATTTTATAGTTGATATGCTTTCCTTCAGACTTCCTTTTTAGTCTACACAATCCCAAGAAGCAGCATTAAAATCAGGGTGAGCATCAGAGAAGCAGGACAGAAGCTTTGGCACACAGACAAAGCTTGCAAGAATCATTAATCATCTCTGAGGCACCACATTTATTAAAGACAAGTTAGTTAAAGCAGAACAGAAAACAAACAGAGTGTACTGCATCAAGGCAACTGCCCAGGCAAAATCCACGACTTTATTCTCAAATGGATTAGCGATTTGAGTTGCATCATAAACCAGGAATGAAAGACCACAAACTATATGCTTCTGCATCACCAGGAGGATTCCCAAGTACCTTGACCATGCTGGAGGGATGGGAAGAGGGAAGAGGGGGATCTGTGATTGGTTTGTAAAATGAATAAAAACTTTCTTAAAAAAAGAAAATTATGTTAGAGGATTTTTAAAAAGAAAAGTAAAAGGATGACTTTTCCACGAATACACTGAGAACTGGACCGATGCATATGTGAGGGTAGCATGTTAGTAAGGTCATCTTTTGTTATGTCTTCATTTTCTGAGGCTCTTTGCAGGGTGTCAGTGCCATTAATTCTGAAGAAGGTGCTTAGCCCAGTAAAAAGCTCTTAATCCTGTGTGTTGATTTCGTCTTCTCTGTTTACTTCACTCGTTGTCACTCTGGGAAATAAGCTCTTACATGGCATCCTTCAAGGACACAGATGCAGCTCCATAAACAGTGGGAGCATAAAGTGAGTGTGTGTGCAGATGACTGAGTGAGCTCACAAGACAAAGGGGAAAACTAGAATGACTAGGCTAGAGGTCATTGTCTGTGAAGGTACTTCACAGTGTGTCTATCTAGCACAGGATCTCTCTATTCAACTTAGAAGAGTTTGGATTAAAAGCATTTTTTGTTTGTTTGTTTTGTTTTTTAAATCATGTAGTTACTAGAAGTTTGTGAAAAGTATTGAGGGGGAAAAAGTCTTTTACTTTTTTTTAAAAAAATCCTCTAACACAATTTTCTTTTTTTAAGAAAGTTTTTATTCATTTTACAAACCAATCACAGATCACCCTCTTCCCTCTTTCCACCCCTCCAGCCTCCCTTCCCCCCACCCGCCCGCCCCGCCAACCCATCCCCAATTCAAAAAAAGGCTATCAGGTATATTTTTCTCTCATCAAAGATGATTGAAAGAGATACAGCTTATCCACGTAGGGGAAAAGGCTCAACACACACTAAGCAGCTTGTCTGGTACTACACGTTCATGCCTGGTAGGGAAGCAATTCCACAGGCAAGGCAACAGGTGTCTCTATTATGTTTGCACAGTGGTATCCAGAAAATAGGGGACAATAAAAAAATAGCCACACATAACACAAGATGAAGAAAATGGAGTCCAAAATTCCAAATTATAAAGGAACAAGCATACAGGCCAGCTCCTTCAGCCATAGTGCTAAGGTTGCACAAATGAGCAAACAGCACTCATTTCAAAACAATCCCAGGAGTTAAGGGAAGACATCTCTAGTAAATAAAGATGGATCTCTGTGAGTTCGAGGCCAGCCTGGGCTATAGGGCGAGATCCAGGAAAGGCGCAAAGCTACACAGAGAATCCCTGTCTCGAAAAACCAAATAATAATAATAATAATAATAATAATAATAATAATAATAACAATAATAATAATAATGTTCATAAAAACAAGCTTTTGACAACTGGTGCTGTGAAGCAGTTATTATCCCTGATTAGTAAAACAGTTTGTTTGAAAGCAACCAGTTTAGGAGAATACAGACAGGAGGGCAAGCTTAAAAACACATGGGGCTTAGATAGAGAGCTATTATTTTGCAAACAAACGATTTAAAATGGTCTGCACTAACATCATGTGGAGTCACTTTCATGTCATAGAACTCAATAAATAATGCTTTTTAAAAACTTCACAGCTCGTCCTGATTCGCTTGTAACTGTAGTCCGCTATTGCCTTCATGTGTATCATGTTTCCAGATATTGAGTGTTGAAAGATTTATTTGCATTGAGCTGTGCCTCAGAGTAATTTTAGTTTTCATAAAGTCTAATTTCACAATTATAACTACTTGAAAAAAAGGGTACTCTTCCTATCTAATTCTGTAGGATGAATCAACATTTTTACTATAAGTCCAATTGTCACAAGTGGTTCTGTTTTCATATTCCTTAAATTCCATACTTAAATTTTTCCATATTAAACTCTCAACCTACAAATGTTCAACTGTCATAAAAGATCAGTGTTACTGAACTGCCAGCATTAATCTTTTGTTTGAGATGTATAAAGACAAATAAAGGAGGCATCACAAAATGTCTCTGCAGCATAAGGAGATATTGAAATGATAAATAACATAACCTGCAAACACTAGTTACAGTGTTCTTGGGGTGAAGAAATTCCTAAATATTGAAGTCGGTGGCATCACTGTCAGGTGCTCCATAAATAAGTCCTGTACAGTATCTGACACTGGACCTTTAATTCTTGGGATGCTCTGCTAAATAAGCACGCTCCCTTGCTTGTCGGAATTCTTCATGCCCATTTCCAGAAATGTTGCTGCAGATAAGTAACACTGTCATGTTCATTTTGTCAACCAGGCACCGATTATCCTTTTCTACGTGAAGTCTGGGAACATTAGCAAGGTCAGAAGCAATCTTTCAGAAATCCTTCCCTAATGGGGCTATGTCTGACCATTCCTGTAAAAGATGTCCATAAATAATCTTTGAAGAAATGCATATACATTTCCCAGTGTTTTATAGAGTCGTACCATGGAAAAAGGAAAGGCCAGTAGGGCATTGGGGATTTTGAACAAAAAGGAGAACTAAGCCATTCATTATATGCATTAATTAAATACGGTGCATGTGATACAGAGGATGACATAGCCAATTCTTTGATATACTTTTAAATGATTTGACTTTGTATTCTTAACATCTTCCTATTTGTTTTTTGTTTTGTTTTGACAAATTGCTTATGAAGCACTTGCAACTGATGCACATATCACAAAATTATTTCTGCCAAGCTTCCTCTGTGACCTGCCCGTGGGACATGACAGGCTTCAAGATGCATCGCTCTATCAACCCGCATTTTTCCAGGACAATGCAAATTATGACAAATTCCATCATCCTGCATTATGTACTTCATGCTAATCTCACTAATTCTGAAGAATCAGGGGGGCTTGCTGTTCTGCTGAAGGGCATACTGTCTGATTGAATGATAGGAAAAGATTTGTCCCCTCCTCATGATCCCAGCTGTGGCCACCACTGTCCCACTTCTGCCAAGCAACTATTCCTACTGTGTAAGTTGCATTCCCGAGTTAGCTTTCTATCAACTGAGATTTTTGACAGAAACTCCACTTTACCAGTAAAGATACATCAAAAATAAAAGATGTCTGGGGATAAAATGAGGAGGGGAAATTGTACTTCTATCTGCTGTTGGATACTTGCATCCACTTGTAACTACTTAAAACAAAGGGTTACAATCCACTTACAATATATATGATCAAAATGAGAGGGTCTCTTGGCTGAAGTTTCAGATACTGGGTCGCTGCAAATGGTCACCTGAGAAGTCTCTTCAAGAACAAGAGAGCTGTTCTTGAGAACAATTCTTCTAGGCTTCAGAAGGTGGCAGTAAAGCTACATGAAAGAAGCTTAAAGTCTCTATTCTAGTCCATGGCTACATTGCTGAAGTAAACATGTTTAATTCCCAAAGAAACATATATTTTATCCAGTGGCATAATTTACTTATAACATTAAAACTCAAACATGGAGCAATTTGTAGCAATAACCATGATTATGCTGTTAGTGGCCCAAATGTCACTGTCTAGATGAAGCTAAATGATACCTAGCATCGAAGAGCTTCTGTGATTTATTTTTTATGATCATGGGTAGAACTTACATGCTTAAAAGGCTCACCAGAAAACTACCTTTGCTAAATACAAAGAGAGGAAAAGAGTGAAAGGAGCTCGCAGCATCGTTCAGAGAGACGGCTGTGAAGAATTGTCAGAGCAATCAGGTACATTTTAAATGAAACACTTCCAAAAATCAGGGGAGTATCATATCTCTAGTGTGATGCTTTGGATTTTAAAATATATTTCTGTGAGCAAATAACTCACCTTATAAATTAAAATGTGTCTAAACTGTTTTGTCCTTTATAAATGCTTCCTGAAATGTCAGAATAAAGGCTTTTTAACGCATGTAATGCACTAAAATTGATTATTTTAGCTACTTCTAGAAAATGTAGTACAATAAATCTGTTTTTAAGTGTTAAGACTAAAATATCCTATTCACACATATAATAATTTTCTTTTGGGGAGTTCTGGTCTAATGCATATTTCTAACTGGAAATTACCAAGTATTATAGTTCTTTTATGCCATTATCATACATCAAATTGAAATTGTTATGCATAGTCCAAAAAGGAATGTAAACTATCCAAATGTTGAACAGGAATGTAAGCTGGGCTAATGCTGACAAGATTCCACAATGAGCATGTAGTTTACCTCTTCCCTACAATAGCAGCAAATTCAAGTCGGCATTTGCATTTGTGCCTTAATGGAATGCTGCATAATTGTTCTAATGTTCTAGTGAGTCACTAGGCACACTTAATACATAGACAGCACAAATCAACATTAAAGGATTTCTAAGAGGAGACAGGAAGACCTTCAGCTTTCTGCTTTCCTCCCAGTGAGACTCAAGGCCCTCAGAGTAACATGACGATCTGAAGGTCTCTCCAGCAAAGGCAGTGGGCACACCCTAAGCATGCTGTGGCTTGTTGACATGAACCAGGGCAGGCAGACACCAATAATACATGAAGTGCGGTTCAGAGGCAATTAGGATCAGTTGTCAAGGCCAGGCCATTAATGAAAGAACATGTCAGAGGAGCTGGAGACTTCAATGGTTGAGGGCAAGAAGGCGATTTAGTGTGACAGATCGAGTCCTTCCAGTGTCCTCAGTGGTACATGCTAATACCAGCCTTAACAACCTTTTGTGGCAGTGTATAATGTGACTAACATGGACTTTGATTCAGCAAAATGACTGCTGCCACTGTTAGTCTGTCTCATTTTTAACAACAGCAAAAGCATTGCTACAAATAATTATCTACGTCCATCCCTCCCTCTGCTACTTAAAGTACCCACCCTTTGCTCCTGCTATTAAGGTTGGGGGTGTTGATTACTGTCAGTTGATGTAAAACTTTTTTTTTGTAAGTACATAGAATCCTTACTAATTAACTATAATAGATTTTAGAAGGTAAAATAATCAAACCCAACCCAGTCTCATGTAGTTAAAACAAATATAAGTCAAATTTGTTATAAAAGAAATGATGTCTACCATATAAGGTAATACTAGACAACAAGGAAAGTTATTTACCTGTGACCCAAACCCATTGGGAGTAAATAGAGCCAACCCTTAAAGAAATGAAAGCAGGAGAGAATACAAAATCACCACATTGCTACTTTTATAAAGAAAGCATTTATATTTAATTAGAATTTAAAGTAAAATCCTATATTCCCATAACCTGGCCACCAACAATATGTAGGAAGCATAAATTATTTAGCCCTTTAAGTGAATTATCATGAAGGATATGTGGTTGTGAGATAGCTCATACCACAGATGCTTATGTTACAGTGAGATGCTACATCATACTCCTCCTACATTATCTCTATATTTGGAGACTAGTTGCATTTTATTCTATGGACCTCCCTTCTCATTTTATTTTTAGCTTATTTGGATAAGATCTTTTTATGGAAGGAGAAAGTCACTTAGAAAAATGCCTTAAACTTACTCATAATTTCTTACTGTCCTCCTCCACCCCATACACACACTCTTCTAGGATTCACTTCCAGCATTTTAAGTATAAAGATGATGTTGTGATATCTTAGGGCTTAAGACAGATAGTTCAGTCAAGTCTACTTATGAGTAATTCTACATAGATGTGAAGAGTGGTATGTATACAGAGATGAATGGAAATTTGGGGTTGACTGTGGTACTTTTCTATGATGTGTTCACCCTCCCACACTGTGCTTTGTTATGAGACACTCTTCAGGGCTCATTTTCCAATGCTATGTAGAAGCATTTTTTTTTCTTTCAACATTGTGTTTAGGTCCCTTTGTTCATCTCCTCTATTATCTTGGCCACTGCTACTCCTTTCTCCTAATACACTATTCATTATCAGCTTCTTACTTCTTCATAAGCTCTTTTTTACTTTCCTAAAGGGACTTACAAAATCAAGCCTGAAGTATTAGCATAAGCCTAGCCAATACAAATATCTAAATGTTCATATAATCCCAAATGATTTCATGAATAATTTCTTTGATTACAAAAATATTTAGGAAAAAATATCATGCTAAAATATATCCTTTATAGTTGCACCCAACCTAAATGCACTCAGATACTTTCAGTTTTTAGTAATTTATTCTTACATTAACAGTGTGCTCAATATACATTGTCTACCTAGTCCTAACCGACAAAGAATTTATGTGCTGCCCTAGAGAATTTCAGTTTATCAATAATCTCTGCTTGGTCCATCACCAGCCCTTCCAGTGTAGGGTTAACCCTCAAGTTTCGTCTATTTTGAGCAGTGATTAGGCATGGCTCTCATTCTGAGCTCCTGCTTTCTCCCACTGTTTAGGGCTAATGTTGTAGCAGAACTGAGTCAGTGGGCAGCAGGAGCGAGTTATTTTGTCTGGTGTCTAGGCTTCAAGCCACAGAAATGGGCCTACTGCAGAGTTGGCTGTGACTCTATACATGGGTCAGATCAAGGTTTTAGAGTTGACTAAAATAAAAATGACTTTTGTATTCATTATTTGGGTAATAAAATATTCAAATGTACCAGAAGAAAATCCCAGGAGGCTGACCATTCTAAAAAGTATACATTTCTGCAGTGAGCAACATTTTGGAGCGAGCCTTTGGAACTGCATTCTCCCCCCTTGCCTTGTTTGAAACCCTGGCATTTCTCATCTGTCATAATGTGTTTACTTTGAGTATAACATTTTAAAGGTATTATTTTGCCTTCTAAAAACTTACTCCTAGAAGGCTTGTTTTTCTTTACAGGCATAATTATATCTCATTTCTTCAATCATTACCTCATATTTTAATAATATGCTGCCATTTGGGTATAGCTATAACCATAATAATGAACACAGAGTTCAAAGATCACTAGATATATAGACGGCATGAACCATTAGCAAGAAATATTCTACACCACAGAGAACACACACTACAAAACTCTGAAATCCACTATAGAATTCCGAGGAAGGAATCTTTCTGTGTAATTAACATAAATCTCTTTATAAAACATGCTACTTTTAATAACAAATAGGGACATTTTCCAGGAAAAATAAAGAATAGAACACAAATAAAATTATAATATGAATAATTTAGTTATCTCCTCATATCTCATCCTGGCATTGTGCAGCTATAATGGACCTAAACCAGAACTATTTCACTTAAAAATAGGCCTATCTCTTTTTCATATATGTCATTGAAATTCATATCATCACTCGCACACAAAAACACATAATTAATCCTAATTGTTTCCAACACTCAGAAGAAGAGAAATGGAATCTGTGGTTTTTCTCTTTTATGTCTGCGAAGCCTTTCTGCCCACAAGGGCACCATTTAGTAAATGACTTCCTCTGAAACTCTGGCCTGTGCCCTCTTGGCCTGGAGTAGTTAATGCAGTTGCTGGAGGTGAGTCACTGAATTCCTTTGTGACAGAAAAATGAAAGTCAGTGACGGTCCAGGAATGTCCTACTTTTCTATGAATGATGACCCAGAAATAGGGGAAAAGTCACTTCTTAGAAGAAGTCTTAACAAGGAAAATGAAGAATATGTACAGTAAATACCCAGAGTGTTAGGTGGGAAAGGAAGTTACAAAATTAAAATGGAAGCTCAATGAAATCTTCCTGAGTGGTCATTCTTCAAATTTATGATTTTTTTTAAAACTCAAGATGACTTAATTCTATGATACTGTCTCACTGTGTCTTGGTTTCTCTTAGTATTAAATGGGACAGCACAATTATCCCCAATTTTCTGGCATTTAACCTCTAGGTTCTAAGTTCTGCTTGGGGGAAAGAGTCCCACATCTCAACCATCCAGCTGTTCGTTCCAAATTTGTCTAACTCTATACTTCCCTAGTTAGCTGTTGTAACATGAATCTTAAAAGATTTTTTTAATTAAATTTTTTTAAATTTTTTATTAAAAAAAAAACCCAGAGCCAGATATTGGGGTGAAAGCTGAAAGATCTGAGAAGCAGAACAAGTCACAGCCAACCTCAGCTTGCCAACTCCTCAGCTGATCCTGTTTCCACGAATCCTCAGACTGAAAGCCTCTTACTCCTCACCCCTGAGGGTCTCAGCTGAACAGCTGCTTAGTTAGTTCCTGTCTCCTCACACCTTATATACCATTCTCCACTTAGCCATGTCACTTCCTGGGATTAAAGGCATGGGCACTTTCTAAGCAAAGGCATGAGATCTCAAGTACTGGAATTAAGGGTATATGCCACCACTGTCTGGTCTCTATGTCTAATCTAGTGGCTGGTTCTGTCCTCTGATGCCCAGATAAGTTTATTAGGGTACACAATATATCACCACTTTCCCCCTTTTTTTGTCTAAAATAATAAAAGAAGGTTATAACTAATATAAGAAAAACTATATACAATAAGTACAGTAAGTATATACAATATATATAGTCAAGAATTACATGCATGAACAATGTCCACTCCATTAGTAGTTGACAAATTCAAACAAAATCTCCATTATTTATCCTATTTTGGTGAGTACAAAATATTGTACCTAATTCACATTCTACCCTAATTTGTATTACCAACTGAAAACTATCTTTGGATGTCTTTCAAATTTATACACTTTACACCTCTTTAGTGAGTTTCTTTTCTAAATTTGTTAACAAGGAAAACTATTAACTAGCTAATCTTCAACTCCCTCAGAGACCTGAGAAGGAAATAATATTAATTGAGTAAGGAGGAAGTACAAACAAGCAACTTTCAAAAAGTGTGAGAAATGACAGAAACAACTGGCTTCCCGGACAATTACCCAAGATTTCTCTGCAACATTGGCATCCATCTTCAGCCTACAGGCCTAGCATATCTGACAGATTAATCTGTGAAGCAGAATTTTCTAAAGAGCCTTCCTACCTTGACTTGGCAAGGATTTGTCCTTTCTTTTGTGTCCTATTTGTCCATTTTGCACAGCATACTGTCAGCAGTCGAGGCAAGGGCATTTTCTTGCCCAGTGGCTAACTTTGCCTCCAAGAAAGTTAACTCCATATGGAGTTTCTTCAATGCCCATCGTCTTCTCTGAAGCAGATTGTTGCTGCCAGGAGCAGACATGTCTCATTGTCATAAAAAAAGAAAAAGAAATCTATGTTATTAAAACATCTTAAATGCCATATTCTGTAGATCTCTAAAGTGTTTGAAGATGACCTGTCTATCTAAAATATATTTCTGCTTGATCTTGAAAACATACCTAATATAACTACAAATTAATTTGTAATGACTACTAACATATTTCTTTATTATCCTAAATAGTTGGAAATAATAGCTTTCAAGGACTAGCAATTTGTATTACATTGTTAAATGAGGTGTATAGGAACAATATCTTGAACAAGATTAGAAATATATGTACAGTATTTTCTAAAAAAATCAATCTCAAATTTGTATCGATATACATAATTTGTATAAAATATACGAAAATCCAATCCAATGTAAAACATTTAAAACTATTAGTTGCTTTTTAAAGGTTGATTCAATAATCTACCATTTTATCTTATCAGATCCATGTCCTCTTTTTTTCAGAGTAGATTCAGTAACCTACCCCTTTATCCTATTATTTCTATATCTCTTTTTTTTCAGAGTAGATTCAATAATTTACCTTTTATCTTATCGTATCTATATTATTCTTTTCTTCTTTTCAGAGTAGATTCAATAATCTACCTTTCCCTCTTTCATTTCTATATAGTTTTTAAAGAGTAGATTCAGTAATCTACCTCTTATCTATATCTTCTTTTTTCTTTTTCTTTTTTTAAACAAGAACCCTGAATCTAATCTCCTTGCTTAGCTTTTTTTCCTGACCATTATCCATTAGCAACTTGTAACAAACCATCCTAAACAATGACCATTATCCATAACCCATTGAAAGACCCAAAACCACCCACCCCACCTTTGGGAATGTGGACGTCATGTTCTTAAAATTACTTCCTGTGGTCTGGGAGTGAAAGCATCTTTAGGGGATTCTGAAAAGAATTTTTTTTGGGTTGTCAAGCCCTGCAAGAGTTAGCTGTATAATTTGTCCAGTCTCTGCATAATGGGAAAGTACAGAGCTTGTCTCAAGGCCTTGCTTGAGTAGTCTGTGAGGCTAGATCATCTCAGCTAGTCATCTCAAAATTGTCCTGAGCAGTTTGTAGTCCAAATCCAATCTTTGGGTGGTGTTTGTCATCTTAGTGGTATTATCACTGTCTTGATGGAATCATCATTGTGGGGCCCCATCATCTTTTTGGAGACTTCAAAGTCACTGTTAGGTGTAGTCGTGGTTCCCTGCAGAAAACTGATAGAGACTCAAAGTCAAAACCATGTACAGGAAGCTAGATGAAGCCTTTTTTTCTAGAATTATTTAGTACTCTATATGACCATTAACATCATGACAAAAGTTTAATATATATATATCTTATAAATTTTGATATAAAATTTATACCTTAAGAAAAGTTTTAGCCAGGTGGTGATGGCACAGGCCTTTAATCCCAGCACTGGGGGGTGGGGGAGGCAGAGGCAGGCAGATCTCTGTGAGTTCAAGGCTAGCCTGGGCTACAGAGTGAGTTCCAGGAAAGACGCAAAGCTACACAGAGAAACCCTGTCTCTAAACCGCCCCCCCCAAAAAAAAAAGAAAAAAAGGTAAAAGTTTTAAAGAGTCAAAATAAAACCAAACAATTAGGAGATTAGTGGAAATAAAATAGTCCTTTAATTTTGGGTTTTCTTCTGCTCCATATCAAGTGGGTCTTCTGACACGATACAGAGATTTTGCATTTTCTTTTAACAAGCATGCTTGGGTTTAGAGAAGGAGAGAACCATGCTCCAACTCTAAAGCCAGCTTTAATTTTTAATTGAACTGGGACTCCATAAAGGCCATTTGCATTATATGTCTGTAGAGAACAGCAAAAACAAGCACTTAGGAAGACTTATGAAATTTTATCCTGTTAGATATGGGCATCAGATGGAACACAAATCTTAAAAGGTCTTTAAAAAAAAAAGAAACAACCCAGAGCCAGATATTGGGCTGAAAGCTGAAAGATCAGAGGAGAACAAGCCATAACCAACCTCACCTCTCCAACTCTTCAGCCAATTCTATTTCCATGAATCCTCAGAATGAAAGCCTCTGAGTCCTCACCCTGGGGGTCTCAGTTGAACTGCTGCTTAGTTCCTATCTCCTCATGCCTTATATATCTTTCTGTGCCCTGCCATCTTACTTCCTGGGATTCAAGGCATGTATGATTCCCAAGAAAAGGCATGAGATCTCAAGTGTTGGGATTAAAGGTGTGTACCACCATACCTGGCTCTGTTCCCAGTGTGGCCTTGAACTCACAGAGATCCAGATGCATCTCTGCCTCCCAAGTGATAGGATTAAAGGTGTATGCCACCATTGTCTGGCCTCTATGTTAAATCTAGTGTCTGACTCTGATCCCCAGATAAGTTTATTAGGCTACACAATATATCGGAGTACACAATATATCACCACAAGCTGTCATTAGGTTTTTGATGCAGTCATATCCTAAACATGCTCCAATTCTTGAATCAACTTCAAATATAGCAAATTATTTCTATGTTTCGGGATATGCATTTATTGTCCCACTATCTCTTACATTTACATTTCATCTCCTCTTATCTAATCCTCCCCTCTTCCCAAGTTCTACCTTGCCCTACCAGATAAGTCCAGGGAGGTGACATATTATTTATTTCCTTAGTCATAACTAAATTATTGAAGAAGCTATGTTTGCTCTTGCCTCTAGACTAGTGTTCTTAACCTGTGGGTTACAACCCTTTGAGGGATCAAATAACCCTTTCACAGGGGTCACATATTGGATATCTTTCATATTAGATATTTATATTATGATTCATAACAGTAGCAAAATTACAGTTATGAAGTAACAACAAAAATAATATATGGTCGGGGGTCACCACAACTCCAGTAAATGTATTAAAGGATTGTAGCATTAGGACGGTTGAGAACTACTTACTACTCTAGACGCTCCTTGCTCCAATTTCCATTTCAGCCCTATTTACAGATCACTGTTCCTAACAGAATTCCACACAATTTCTGCTTCCACATATAGCTTCTTTGGTATTGTCCTTTCAAGATCAGTTCAATGAGATCATATTGATTAGGGCTATAGACTTTCAAAAGGAGCCTTGCCAGTGTGTCCAACCTGTGGTCCAGGGCAGTATGCCTCCCAGGATTGCTATGATGGAAATCCAAATCATTCCTAGACCACATCATCATGCCACAATACCAAAAGACACTGGAATAGAGAAAGTAGAGAAAGAAGCCCTCTTTGCACTTTCACAGTATCTCCTGTTGGTTGCTAAGCCTCTATTGCCTTTCCTCCCATTATTGATGTTTGAAGATCCAGTATTATCAACATCACTATCTTTGCTGAGTACTTGCTGTATATTATACACTATGCTATATACTTACTATACACTATGCTTAAGATGAAATGGGGAAGAAAGTGTGCACAGTTCCTTTTGCATAGGTCTCATGTAGTAAAGGAGTCTAAAACATTGCTAAACTTGCTAAAACATTCTCAAAGACAACTACACCTGTGTCATATGGGGTAAGGGTATATAGCTCAGCCAGGTCAGTGAGTTAGTGGGCATTCCTAAAGTGTGAACCTTGTGCAAAGACTATACAGAAGTGCAGGCAAGGGTCCTATGGTACAGTGAATTCCAAGAGCTCAGTGACATTACTCTGGCCACATGGCTATATCAGCCACTTTAGGACTGAAGGATGATTTCCAGAAGTGGCCACCCATCCTCACCTAAAATGCTACTATCTCATCTTTGAAAATTAGAAAAAAATTGAGATTGAGCAGAAAGCTAATATGTCCCAGTGCCCTCTGTTCCCTACTGTACTGTCAGGACTAATCAAGCCCACCTTTAGTCCTGCTCTAAGCTCCCCACTTTATTTTCACTTGTACCTGTCTTTGACCTCCCAAAACCTTTTCTAAGGCCCTACAGAAATCAGAATTTCTCATTGACATCTCACTTCCATATCCACAATGTTTTTCCACAACTCCTTTGCTTACTGTAGAACCAACTTATGATTCAATTCTGCATCTTTCCCTGAGTCCTTTGAAAGAGATGTTTCTTTCTTCTTTACTACTCATATTCTAGGACCTAGGACCTGTAGTTTTTGCATTTTCTTTAGAAATTCTAAACTCTTAGCAACTCAAGCTGCCACCAGACAGCCACCACTTCCCACTTGATATTGTCAGGTATTAATCACCTTGGTACTATACTCATTCAATGACTGACTTAACTCCTGTCTCACTGCTTTCATGACTTACCTTATCAACACGCTTGGTGGCTTCTACATGTGAGCAGATAATCTACCTGACAAGATTTGAATGGGTTCCTCCAAAGTTCACATGTTAGAAATTTAATCCACAAATTGATATGTTAATAGGACTTAGTGAATATTTAGGAAGAGATAAAATCATAATAGTGGAGTCCCAATGCCTTAATATAAGGGGGAAGAGATACAACGACAAAAGGTAAAAAGAGGCAGAGATGGATCCCTGTGTTAGCACTCTTGCTTAGTCTCATCACATGGTGCCCTTTGTCATGTTATGATGTAGCACAAAGTCCTGAGTAGATGCAGAGCTCTTTAAAACTACACCTAACCTTCTATTACTGCATAATTCAAGAGAAAAACAGCTACACAGATATCACATTAAATTTGATTACAAATTTCTGCTGCCTAATCCCACATTTCCCCAGTGTCCCAGATTCCTTTCTGTTGCTGTGACAAAACAGTCTGACCAAAAGCTTCTTATGGAGGAAAGGAATTATTTCAGCTTACATGTAACTGTGAACTCAAGGCAACAACCCGCGGACAGAAATTATGGAGGAACACTACTTGCTGACTTACACTTTGGCGTACTTAGACTCCAGCTCAGCTGACTTTCCTATACTGCCCAGGAACACCTGCATGGGAAATGGTGCCACTCACAGTGGGCTGGACCCTCCTACATTAATTAACAGTCAAGACACACAAACCAGTCCAATCTTATAAAAACAGTTAATTCATGTAGATCTCATTCCATTTCTCTGTCATTGGGCGATACCCGTGTCTTTCTTGGACATGAGTGGGGGTAGTGAAGGGCGAGGGTCGAGGGAAAGAGAGCTTGGGGGAGCGGGAGATCCCAGATGGATCAACAACAGAGAGGGAGAACAAGGAATAGGAGACCATGGTAAATGAAGACCACATGAGAATAGGAAGAAGCAAAGTGCTAGAGAGGCCCACAGAAATCCACAAAGATACCCCCACAACAGATTGCTGGCAATGGTCGAGAGACAGCCCGAACTGACCTACTCTGGTGATGGGATGGCCAAACACCCTAATTGTCATGCTAGAAACCTCATCCAACTACTGAGGGATCTGGATGTAGAGATCCATGGCTAGGCCCCGGGTGGATCTCTGGGAGTCCAATTAGTGAGAATGAAGAGGGTTTATATGAGCGAGAATTGTTGAGACCAAGGTTGGATAAAGCACAGGGACAAATAGTCAAACGAATGGAAACACATGAACCATGAACCAATGGCTGAGGGGTCCCCACTGGATCAGGCCCTCCGAATGGGTGAGACAGTTGATTGACTTGATCTGTTTGGGAGGCATCCAGGCAGTGGGACCAGGTCCTGTGCTCATTGCATGAGTTGGCTGTTTGAAACCTGGGGCCTATGCAGGATCGCTTGGCTTGGCCTGGGAGGAGGGGACTGGACCTACCTGGACTGAGTCTACCAGGTTGATCTCAGTCTGGGGGGGGGAGGCTTTGCCCTGGAGGAGGTGGGAATGGGAGGTAGGCTGGGGGGAAGGTGAGGGGGGCGGGAGGGGGGAGAACAAGGGAATCCGTGACTGATATGTAGAACTGAATTGTACTGCAAAATAAAAATAAATTAAAAAAACCAAAAAAACAAAAAACAGTTAATTACTCAATTGAGACTCTTTTTCAGGGGATATTGACAGTTAGTGCTAGCCACTGCACTTAGTATTTAAAATTTCTCACTCTCTTAACAACCATTTTATATTTTACTTTCTCAAAATTGATAGCATAGCTTCTTGTTTTATTTCCCAGGAAACAATTTACAAACTGATAGCCCATCATGCTGAATCTTCCTGTAGACCATGGTAGAATCATTCTTCTCCCACCTAAGACTAATCATTCCATTCCAAGTTCCCACTTACTCAACATCATGGAGACTTTTATTCTGAAACTATTCTTTTACTGCCCTGTGTATTGCTTTATTGGAATGGGTTATAACTGTTAACATGTAAAACATGCTGTAATCATTCCCATCCTCAAAACAGTGTTTTCTTATTCTACTTCTCATACCAAATTTCTCCTGTCAATGAGACAATATTTCAGCTCCCTTTAATAGCAAATCCTTTGAAGTCAGAGCCCATATTCACTGTCTCTCCTCCCACTTCTACTGTGAATGGTATCTACCAGGCTTTTTTCCCCAGCTGCAGGTGATCTGAGTTCTCAGTACACCTCTATAAACCACTGGGCTCAGTTTCTGACACCATCTTTTTCTATTTAGAACACTCTTTCCCACTACCTGATTGTTTTTTAAATAAATATCTTTATTTTTAAATAAAATATAATTACACCATCCTTCTCCCTTTCCTCCTCCAACACTTTCCGTGTCTCCCTCCACCATTGCTCTCTCTCAAATTTATGACCATTTTTGTTATTGTTACATATATATACATATATATATATATTGCATAAATATATATGCACAATCTGCATGTATCTGTTTAATGTTGCTTGTATGTATATTATTTCAGGGCTGACCAATTGGAATTGGATAATTAAGAGGCTCATCAATGGGAACAACAAATTCTCCCTCTCTCAGAAGTCCTTAGTTGTCTATAGTTCTTAGTCTAAGGGTGGGGACCTGTGAGATATCCCCCTTCCATAATAGCATGTCTATTGGCATTGTTGAGCTATCATGGGTGTAGATTCCTTGTGATTTCCAGGACACATGATCTCATTGCAGATTTTCTGGTCCTCTGGCTCTTATAATCTTTCTACCCTTTCTTCTAAGATGTTTCCCTGAGCCTTAGAAGAGGGAACTGTGTTGTAGTTGTATGTATTGTGCCTGGAAACCCTATGGTAAGTTGTAGTTTTATCTGTTGTGTCTGGGAACCCTATGATAAGTTGTTCTATGCATTTGACCAGTAAAATGTATTGTGACTGCAGTACAGAGAGAAGAAATGAAGAGTAGGCAGTGAGTTATTTGGGAGGGGCAGAGGGTTATCATATACTGTTTATAAACCACACAGAACAACTTCAATTTTATTGTGAATTTAGTGGGATCTACTCAATTTCGTGACCAGATTTTCATTACTTGATGATATTTGTGAATTCTATGTGGAGAAAAAATTATGAGAGAGAAAAAAAGAAGAATGGAGACTTGGCCCCAGGCTTGCTATACACCATAGAGAAGAGTGAGGGCACATGGATGATAACTGTGTGAGTGGAGATGACAGGCTGTAGGCAGGTGGAAATGGACAAATTATGGAACACAAGTAGTGAAATGGGTTGATGGAGGCAATGGACAAGGAAGGAATATGAAAAAATTCCAGTTTTTGGCTTGAGAAATGTAAGACTATTTATGTTGTTTCCTGAGATGGAGAAGAAATAAATTGGTCTAAGGGATGTACGGGGATGAACTTAGTTTACATACCTTCAGATAGCATATTTTCTATGCTCCTGTGCTGGGTCTGGCTATTTCTCACATTAGCTTCAGTGACTATCTCTTTAGGTCCCTTCCAACGGATAGTGCTTTCAAATATTATCTGCAACATTTAAGAAATGAAGCATGCCCTTGATTGTGTTCTCCTGTGCCTCTGTGAGAGATCAGACACATATGATGGCATCATTGTACTGTCTTGGATATTACCCCACCATGCTTCCCGCCTTACAGAATATCATTAGGCAGAATCACTAAGATATCTATCAACTTCTCTCAGAACATGAGAGAAATCATCTGCTGTCTATGTACCATTATTGCATTATTATACTGCAGTTACTAAAATTATTTATTGATGTGAGCAACCACAAAACATCTTGCTTCCAGGTTTTAAAGAAAGAAACTTGAGAAATTATTCTTTAACAATTTCATACATACAATGTACTTTGATAATATTTTCTTGAATTATCCTCTCTTAATTCTCTTTCTTCTCTTGCCAAATCTCTACTTTCCAACAACCTCCCCTTCACTTACTACTGTGGGGGTGGGGGGCCTGTCCTGCAACTCATTCTGTAACCCAGCCTGGCCTCAAACTCACAGAGATCTGCCTGCCTCTGCCTCCCAGTGCTGAGATTAAAGGTGTGCACCACCACTGCCTGGCTTAAATAGGGTTTCTTACATGAATGTAGGAGGAGAGCTATTCAGTTCATCAAGGGCAACTTACCATAACTACATCACATACCACTTGGAATATGACTCCTATCCCCACCCTCTCCAAGCAACCATTAGCTGCTTAGAGCTCTTCAGGAAAGGCTGGAGCCTTAGTGTTAACCTCTAGGTGTTAACCTTCTTCCACATGATAGAATGTTGGTGGGCCTATCTTTACCAGGTCTTGGGCAGGTATTCACAGCTGCTGTCTGTTCATGGTTGCAACAGACTTGTTATACACAGAAAATAGCATTCCACAGTATTCCTTCCCATCTTTTAGCTTTCACACTCTTTCCAGATCTCTTCTATGATATTCTTTGTTCTTTGAGCCTTGGAAGGGGTGATATTGGTATTCTGTTTAGGGATGAGAACTCAACAATCACTCAGCCTCAGCACTTTGATCCGTTATGTGTCTAGAAATTAACCTTCTCCCAGTTGTAAAACACAAGTTTGAGGCTATAGATCCAAAAGCATGTCTCCAAAACCAAAACAACAAAAACTTGGAGAAATAAATAATGATAACAGAAGAAAATAATAAAAATTTAAAGATTCAAGAAAATTAATTCCAACATATAGTTGAGATGTAATCTACAGATGTTACATTTGTTAAAATATATGCATATAAAAATAAAATTAATATATAGCATTCGACTATTGTCTGGAACTAAGCCAAACCACATTAAATACCACATCTTTCGTAACCAAAAAGAAGGGTTCCCCTCTAATATAAATATATACTTGGGGGTATTTATTTTCTCATGTTCAGCTATCATTTTCAAAGTGTGCTATATTTTCTGTGTAACACATTTTTCATCTGCCCAATTACTAGCAATCTTTTTTTCTTCTATCAAAATGATCATTTGTTTCTTTATTGTGGTGGATGAGACCTCCTTTCATTGTTCCAGCTCACAAGCTGTGCAGATCCTACCCACTGTTCTTGCCTCTAGCACTTCACATTATTGGTGTATTATTTCATGCATGCCCTACTCTTTTATCAATTGCTTTTGAAGTAATGTTAATAGACTAGAAAATTGAGACATTTATGAAGTATAGGCAGTGTTTATGAAAAAATCCATAAAATATGACACAGGCAAGACAAGATAAAAGCAGCATTTTAATAGATTATGGCAAAGAGATCCTGTCAGACTTGACAACTGACTCCTTCGAGATCACTAATTTTTATAGGATTAATTCTGTGGTATAAAAAATGAAGTTAAATGTCCTAATTAATCTGTAAATAGCACACCCACAATTAAACCTTGTGGCCCCTTCTTGGATTGGGGTTGCAATGATTTTTGAAAAGTAATTATCTCATATTCATAATGAAGGAGGTTTTTCTTTTCCTTTTCTTTTTTTCCCCTTGTGACATTTCAGCTAAATATTCACCAGCATTCAAACTTGAATAGCAGTCTTCTGGACACAAATTGGCTCACAGCTTGGTGTGGAACTATACCAGTCTTTGTAAACTATGCATTTTTGAACTGTTTATGTAAAAATGAAGTTTGGAAACATAATCTGAGAGTTTTATTGGATTAATTGTGGGGAGGACAAAAGCTAGAGTTTCTCTATTTGGGGACAATTCCTCTTTGTTTCACAAGTTGCAGCATCCTAAAATGGCAAGCTTCTGTCTCTTATGGAGAAGTGACGAAGGTGTACCATATGGAAGCCCTGTCTCTGATGAAGGAGTTCAACAGTATAGTATGTAAATGAATGAGTAGATAAATAAATAATAAATAAACAAGGGCACTGTATGGCTTTTCCACCACAACACTGTGGCAGGGCACTCGAGAAATACTGGTTCTAGTCCTCTTCCTTTCTTCGACCTTTCATTTTGTATTTTAAAACTTTATTTTTATTTTAATTGTTTTTTTTTTTGAGACAAGGTCCAACGTACACTATGCTAGCCTTGACCTGGCTGTGTAGTTGAGGATGACTTTGAACTTCTGATCCTCCTACCTCTACCTCCTGGGTGCTGGGATTACAGGCATGCACACCATACCTGGCTTATGTAATGATGAGGTCAAACCTAGGGCTTCTGACATGAAAAAGAAACCCTCTATCAACTGAGCCACATACTCAAATTTGGATTTTATAAAACTTTCTGTAAATGTACAATGATATCTGCATGTAGTCATATGGGAATACTATACTTTGTTAAATACAAAAGATTCTAGAATATTTTCAAAAGAACGGGTGTTAACAATAATACATGCTAAGCTTTGGGATTTGCATTCATTATTGCATCAATCCTGACAAACACTCTAAAGGCAGGTATTATTGCTACCACTTTGTTAAAAATAAAATCATAGAGGGTCAGAGACATTAGCTGGGTTTTCCATATCTCACAGATGCTCCTTGATTTAAGATGAGGTTAAGTCCTTATAAATTTATGCTATGGTGAAAATATCATAGGCTGGAAATGGGTTTTCATATGGCTCATCTGCTGAACACTGAACAGCACAATGCTCTGAAGAGGGCTGTTGTCTCCGACAACCACACAATTAACTGGGAGCTTTTTTCTGATGTTGCTGTCTAGCATCACACAAGGTGCTGTCCAGAAGCACACAAATATACTATGCTATATAGTCATAGGCTTGGACTAGATCAAAATTCAAAACTGAAACATGGTGTCCATGGAATGTTTCTTGCTTTTGTACTATTGTAAAGTCAAAAAGTTATCGACAGCACCATTTTAAAGACTGAGATTGTGTGTAGTGGTGGCAGAGAAGATTCTGGAAGCCAGATTCCAGGCTTAAAATTCTGTGCATTTTTCACTGTCACTAAACCAGAGATTATGTTTTTGTAATCAGAAAACCCACTGATAAAGTAAAATATTCTAACAGTGTCAGACACATATAAATTATTCAGATCACTAGGTTCTGGAGTAAGAAAAGCAAAGGGTTCAGTGAAATCTTGTTTTGTTTTCCTACTACACTGAAATGCCTAAGGTTGCATAAGAACAAAACTGCTACACTGAGAGTGAACTGTCCAAAATATGTGGACCTTTGACAAAGCACCCACATCCAAATTATAGCAAATGGCTATTTAGGCCATCTGAGAATTTAGGTTGTTTCTTTGGTAGAGGGACAGTTATGTAAAACATGGCCATATAATATCTTACAGGCTGTCCTCAGACTCACAAGTCTCCCACCTCAACCTCCCCAAGTGCTGGGATTAAAAGCAAGAGACACCTTATCTGACTGAATATTGTCTTTCTTTTTTTGAGAAACGAGGCGGGGATCACCTTACAGGAGAAGTCAGTCATTGTCTTCATTAAGTGCTAATAGAAAACAAAGCTGAGTGTTAAGTCTTCATTTTTAGAATTTATACTCAAGGTCATATGTAAACACTATCAAAGATGACAGTGTGGTGAACTATTTCCTCTTCTCATGTCAAAGAGGTTTTTAAATTGTCACTACTTGGCACATAATACAAATATAAAGAAGGTGAATATCTAGAAATAAAATATAGTTTTCTGATATTTACAGTTCTACATAAACTGTTCAAGTATTTCTGTCCTCCCTGACTAATCTGAAGAAATAACCCATCTATCTGATGATCTACAGGCAGAATCAGCTAGGCAATCCCTTACATGTCACACAAAGAAATTTGTTCAGTTATTTTGTTGCATAGTCCTCACTGGAACTTGGATTTCTGATTCTGACTCCAAGTTCCTCTTCCAACATGTTACTTGGTTTTACTTGCCTATTATTTGGTCAAGACCTTGGGTGCATGTTTTCCAAGATTTGAGAACACCGTATGATGGAACATTCTTCAACAGGTAAGATATTCAGGAACAGATAGGCTCAGTGTTATAGACAGGATTTTGAAAAGACACACTAAGCTGACAGAAAGAGAAAATAATAAATGACATGCTTTTCATCTCTAAACTCTCTAATTCCAAGAAAACACCCTAAAGCTTTTGCCTTGGGTAAAAAATATTTGAAATGCCAAATCTGGTTATCAATCGGTCTCTGTGTGTGTTGGGAAGGATTACTGTGGCTAAGTATAGTGTAAGCCTGTTCATACCCAGCATTACTTCTGATGTTCCAGTAAGAATGCCCATCTTGATTTTTCAAGTGATACTAACCCAAGGAGAAAAGAAAAAAGAGTATGTTTAAGGCATTCTTCAAAGCTCATCTCTATGAGGCTATTTTGATGATTAAAAAAGGAAAAAGAAAGAATCAAGCTGCAGCTGAGCTGGTTTCTTTCACATCCAATGACTACAGATTTCAGGTAAACACGACAAACTTCCAAAGACTGATTATCAGATTTGTAATTCTGCTTATTTTATACCATAACATTGTCCTAGAATTGAAAATAGAAACAAGTTATTCACAGAGGGACTCTTATGGTATTACTGTTTCCATCGGTTCCTATGAGAAGTTGTAAATATCCCCCTGGCCTGGTGCACATACCATGCAGTTTCATGTGACCAAACCATGTACTCAGTAATGCTAAAGAGCTATGCATAAATATTTTCAAATGCTTGAGAACATTTATTGAATAAATAAACTTGAATATTTTTGAGACAGGTAGTTTGCTGTTGACTCTATAGTATATGATGTTTTATTTTAATTATTTTTAAAGAATTTTTAAATTCTTTTCTAGGGTATATAATATCTTTGTGCAATTGTTGGTAACATTCCTGATATTCACTAAGTGTTTAGTGTTTGTAGTGAATATAATGGCTGCAATCTTAAAGAAAGTAGAACTATTTTCTATGACTTCAACTACATACTCACAGATGCCCTGTAACTACAAAATTAATGTTTTCTAGACCAATTATGTATTTAGTTTCTGCTTATTCCGTGACTCAGACCATTCACATCTTTAGTTCTAGAATACCCATTTTGCATTAAATCACACATTAGGAGTTTATAATTGGCTTCAGACTTACCATCTATCTACTTGTCACAGCAGCTCCTATGTCAGAGCTTGAGAATGTTGAGGAAGACATTGAATATTACAAAATCTTGGTTTTTGTGCTTTAGACCACTTAAAAAGCCTATGAAAGAGTTGAGTCTGATTACACCTGTAAACAAAGCACATGGCTCATCCTTTGTCCACCTGGATAAATAAACCACTGCCTCAACATACATGCATGCACACAGAGACAGGCAGACAGACAGACAGACAGACAGACACACACACACACACACACACACACACACACACACACACACACCCCTTCTAAGTAATTAACATTAACACATTTCTACATACATTTCTTACAAAGAGAAGCTGTGATTTTAATTTTCAACTTTTATAGGATATTCAGTTTTTAACAGTCATTTTCCACAGAATACAAAATTAAAATGGAAGTGTAAAGTTAAAAATTAGCTGTGAAAAAAATAAGGAATTCACAATAACCATACTTGAAGGGTCAACACGGTAAATCAAGTTCAACAATGTTTTAATCGCTATTGTGTTATTCTTATGTTGGGTGATGATATTATTGGAACAGTAAGCCTTTAACATCTGTGCACTTTGGATCACCTTAGCCAGCTGGTTCCTCTCAAAACTGCTCATCTTTTGTTCTTACTATGCTCTGACCCAGGGCCACAGCCTTAAGACAGCTATGTGCTTTCTGCGCCAGGATATCCTCTTCAAGTGTGTCAGGCAGCTTCAAATGATTGATGTGCTAGTCTGGGGCACTGGTATTTTTCTCTTCAGTAAGTCTCTAGTAAATCTACAGCTCATTCTATAAGAATGCTAATTAGACTACTCTTACTAACATCATGAACATTTTTTTATTTCTCTGTATCTTGGAGGTGAGCTTGAAGTCTATTATACAGTGTGTTGCTAAAATAAGTTTTATAATATTGCATATAAATAAAACATACTCATCATCATGGAAAACAATTCAAGCAGTGAATTTAATTGGCTGTCCTATAACAGAATTGTGCCATGCATCTCAGCTGTGAGCCTGAAGCAAGAGACTAGAAATCACTTCCTTCTTGCGATCATTCCTTTTATCTACTTCTTCCTACACGCATTGAGAAGTTCCCACTAACTACAACAGGTATCTGATAATCAACTTAAAAAAATGAAAGGTTTATTTCAGCTCCTAGTAGGTAGGAGTGCTGGGTGGTGATGTTGGCAAGCATGTGGTAGTGTGAGACTGCTCAGCTCAAGGTCAGGAAGAAAAAGAGAAAGAAGGAGTCATGTTCATATTTACTGATCCTCTCTCTGAGCTCCACTTTTAAGTATTTGACCATTTCTCAATAGCAGTTCTTTGCGACCAAGTTTCCAGCATCTAGGCCTTTGAGGACATTCAATTACAATGTGATATTCCTTACCTGGATCGTGCTGCATCCCCCCCTGAGGTCATGCTGCTTAGCCAAGCTCTCTTTCGTCACTCCAATTCCTTGAAGTTCATAGAGGAGCTTCTCTGCTACAGTGATGTTTTCCCATGAAGACAGACCTCGTTTCATCCTGGGGTTTTCTCTGAACTTCTTGCTGTAACACACTTGCACCATGCCTTCCAGTTTGCTAGGATGGCTTTCAGTCTTTCCGTTGCCCCATGGGAGCCTCGTTAAACCTATGATTATCTGGCTTTAACTTCTGCTTTCATTCTTGACCAGTTTTGGACTTTTCCTCTAAATAAGTTACTGCTCTCAGTAAACTTCAGGGCCACCTATGATTCCTTGAGGCCTATAATTGCGTCCACAGTCTCCTTCAGAGAACATACTCAACCTGTTGCATTTGCTGCCAAGGAAGACCCAGACCAGAAAGGGTAGGAAGTGAGAAATGAGCAGGTGCAGCCACAAGGCATTGAATGCTAAAGGATAGGGAAAGGTACGATAGAGAATGGTGTGTGTGTGTGTGTGTGTGTGTGTGTGTGTGTGTGTGTGTGTGTGCATGCGCACGCGCGCGTGTGTAGAGATGGCTTTACAACTTTCAGGACTTTCTCTTCATATGCTTGTGATTGTAGAATGACTTAAAAAAAAGCCTAGTTCAGGTAACTTAAACATTATTCCTTTAGTATATTTGCATTATGTTTTTTCCCCACAGATTTCTTAGCACTATTGTAAGAGAAAAGCTGGTAACCATACAGTAGAGAGATTCAGTAATTATCCGAGTTATTGGACTAAAATTAGCACTGAGGAGTGGTAGGTGTAGGATGCCTCCACATGTGACACTGAGAAGAACATAGTTGTATTTACTTACTGTTTGGAACAATACATATAGCTACAGACTCATTCAGAAATATCACACAAACAAGGCAAAGGCTTTTTTATTGTTAAGAATGGAATTATAGTTTTCAAAAACATTAGTGCTATCAAAGACAAAGAAAGGCTTCTTAGAAACTTCCATCATAAAGGAGACCAAAGAGATTATGTAAAATGTTATCCTAAGATGAGTCTCATATTAGAGGAAAAATAGTGGTATAAAAGGTACCACTGGGTCAACAAACTAAATTAGAATATAGAGGAAAATTAGAAATAGTGTCAATTTCAAATTTACTTCTACATAAGACAATATTCATAATTTTAGGAAATAGACTCAGAAGGGCATAGGAGTCATTGGCTGTGAAGCTGAAGCTAACTTTTAAAACTTTCTGGAGGCTGTACTGGCATATACATAACTCTATACATAAATTTCATGTACTCTGACCATATCTATATGCAGTGAGTGACAAGGATCCATCTGATAAAGCAAATGAGACATATTTCAATATAGTGAATGCGAGGAGTACAAAGAAATATAATTGCAAAGCTTGTTCAGATAATCGCAAAGTAAAACTATGAAGAAAACACTACTTTAGAACATTAGGGGCTTCTATAATTTTTCACAAAAATAAAAAGTATGTGATATATATAAAACCAGCTAATGGATTTGATCATTCTAAAATATAAATATGTTTTCTACAAATATTTAATTAGGATTGACAAGATGCCTCAGCTGTAAAAGGTGCTTGCTGCAAAGCCTAATGACCTGAATTACCCCCCAAAACACACATGGTGGAAGGGGGAACTGCCTCATGTAAGTTTCCTCTGACCTCCACATTTGTGCCATGCCATGTGTGCACCCCTAAACAAATACATACACAAAAGAGATACAAATTAAAACAATTAATCATACATATACACATTATGTACAATTAAACACACATATATATGTAGTTTATGTGGGTGTTTTTATATTTGCATGTTATTTAATACATATAAGTATAAATGCTATTTGAAAACTCTAGAAGCAAAATAAAAACAATCCTATCAATAAAATAGATACAGTTATATATGGGTAGGGCTGGACCTGAGAAAGATACAATATTTGTGTTCTAGACAGAAAAACTTTTGCCTGCCTGGTAGTCTAAAGTGGCAAGAAAAAACTTAAATGAACTACAATTTAGAAAATCAATTTATATCAACATCAGAGTACATACTTATGCCTATAGAAAATTCTTTCTTCTTATGCTATAACATTTAGGAGTTGAAATGTCTTGTGTTTTAGGAGATACATGTGGGGAAAAAAGTATATCAGGGCCTATGTTATTTATACCACTAGACACTAAATATAATAACTACTATGAATAAAACAATGAGGTTATGGACATCAGAGGTGGAGTTAATACCTGCTTATCTGAAAGCAGAATAAGATCCACCACCAAAGTAGACAGCTGAAAGTGAGATGGACATTGAAAATACATTACTGTGTTACTGGAGCATCTGGTACTAACCTTGCCCAGCTTACATGTGTTCTCAAACACTTACTTATGTAACAATCAAATGCCAGGCATTCCAACTGCACTTGTAAACTTTTTACGAACTGAAGTCATGTGCATAGGCTCATCCTTAATATTCATCATAGAAGGGGTAGTGTGAGGAAACTTTTAACTTGGAACTGAAGGCTGATTGTAGTTTGGCTTTCTGACAGTTTTGTGGTTGTGGGCCTGAGATGGATATGAGAGTTGAACAGCTAGTCATGTGAGATTCATTTCATTCTAGAAAATTAAAACTTAATTAATGGGTTAATTACAGTTTGGGAGTTCTCTTTTGGATACAAACAAAATGGTATGGGGGAGTAGAGAAAATGACATCATGGTGTAAAGTAGGTAAGAACGAAAAATATTTTCCTCAACCTATCCCATTGTGTGTGTGTGTGTGTGTGTGTGTGTGTGTGTGTGTGTGTGTGTGTGTGTGTGTCTCATGTACATGGTTTGATCATGATAATGTCTAAGAGATGAAAGATAGCATAGGATGAAATTTAGGAAAGATAGCTCAGCTAAGATGCAAGAACGAAGGCTCAGCTGAGCTGTAGAAAGGACAGCAGACAAGATGCAGGAAAGGTGAAAGATAGCCCAGGAGAAGATATTATTCTATGATGACCTTCTAATGATAATTGAGAACATTGTGCACCTTGTCTTCCGAGAGACAGGATCAATACTAAGAGCCATAAACCCATTCTTTTCCTTCTTTCCTCCCTTCCTTTCTTTTTTCCTTCCTTCCTTTTTATTCCTTCATTTCTTCTTTCTTTCCTTCCTTCCTCCCTTCCTTCTTTTTATTGTTGTGTTTTTTTTTTTATTCTGAGACAGGGTCTCTATGTATTCCTGCTGTCCCATAACTCATTCTGTATACTATGCTGACCTCAAATTCGTAGAGTTCTGTCTACCTCCTGAGCCATTTTTCTTAAATAAAAAGAAAAATAACAAGGAAAAACAAACATTTGTACTTTATTTTCCTCTTCTACTAACAAAAAAGGAACACACACATTTTCCCTAAAACTTTCTCAGTCATTGCTTTAGTGTAATTTTGAAGGTGCTGAATATTGCAGTGAGTGTTTTAATAACCCACCAAGGTTTTCATTCCATGAGTAGATATCTTAATCACAGTGATTTGTGTCAAGGTTTGGTTAAAAGATCCTATTTTGTCTCAGCCATTTGCTGCTCTGAATGTGTGAATCAATGAAATCTTGGAGGTCCTACTGTGTGACCTTCTTAGCTGACAGTAGTATTTCTCCTGTGCCAGCATTTGCAGTCATAACTCTGGGGCTTAGGAGAATTTTTCTCTCTTGTCTTAGTAGCCTCTGCACAGTGACACAACCTCAGCACACGCTTGGGTTGTTGGAGGATGTCTAACCCTGGTAAACCCGGTATCTTGTAACTCAAGTTGATCAGACTGGAAAGCAGGCATCAGCAACACCTCACTGATTGCCTAGCCAATGCTGAGGATGCTGTTTGGAACAATGATGGGCAATCCTTTGGGACTGTGTTGTCTGTTTTAGAAAAGTGGTGTTTTGTGAAGTAACTGAAAACTGGGTACTCCCCATTCTGGTCTTTATC